AGAGAGAGAGAGAGAGAGAGAGAGAGAGAGAGAGAGAGAGAGAGACAAAGAGGAGAAAGACAAAAAGCAAGAAGGGCTTGGAACCGTTTTTGTGAGCCAAAAGAAGGGACACCGTATTGAATTTCCAGCCTGCATGATTGATGAGAGCGGAAAACTGTGTTTTGTGCTCCCTGCTCTGCCCGTTGATGCGTTCACTGTGAGAAGCTTTTTCTGTTTTTTGCCTGTTACTACCACCACTACCGTACATACACCGGTAAGGGAGACTAATCAATGGCGGACAGAAACAGAGACAGGGATGAGCTAATCACGGGCAGCACAGATACCGTACAAAATGATGATGTCCACTTTGCATCTCTCTCCAGATAATGGCACTGCCTGACAGATGAGCAAAAATAAACCAAACCAAACCAAACAACAACAGACAAAACCGATTTGGCCGATCTATTCACCGCTGACTGGAACTGACCATACTCTGAACAGCATTTGCATGTCTTCCTCAATTAACTCGCTCGCTGTGTACTCAGTTTGACTTTGAGTGCCTCCGCCATTCTCGCAGGGCCGCCAACTCCTCACAAGCACCATCATCGCCTGTCAGTGAAATCAGAGACGAGCGGCTAATTAAATGGTAACCAGAGATGGCCGGCAATCACTGGCACCATCATATTGGGAAGAGGAGCAGAGTGGCTTGAAAGGCTACTCGAAAGTTCTGGAAAGACAGGGTAATGCTTTCTCTGGGTGATCGACAAGCACAAAATGCGAATTGCGACGGAAGTGCACTGTGTTGCTAAGCAAAGCACACAGCACCGCACATTTTGTCGCACCTTTGTTAGGGCGAATGCATCGCAGTGAAGTGAATGGATAGAAATGTGATTCAACGTCATCTGCAAGCAAACAACTTGCCATTTGCCATTTAAATAATGCCGCCAGTGATTGGTCAACAAAGGAAAGAGTTAGTTTACACTTTCAATTTTTTTTCACAAAACAGTAAAAGTCGCTCAGTATTGAACTTTCATGTCCGTTTCTTCTCTATTTGATCTACCGTTTTGCACTAAATGCTGCAATCGTTTATTTTTCAAACACATTCCCTGAAAACAAACAAATTTGCCTTCCTTCAATTAATCTGACGACAACTAATTTGGAAGGCTAAAAGGAAAAAGGCAAATGTACGGCCACAATTGCCTGGCTGTTTTAGACTGCATGCAAATGAATATGCAACAACAGCACAATACTTTGTGTGCTTGTGTGAGCCTGAGCCCAGTTTGCATGTACCAGTTCTTTGATGTGTCATAATTAACGATGAAAGCACACACACACCCAAACGTACACAAACATACACAAACGGGGAAACAGACAAATGGGCTAATTAAAAGGCATCAACTTTGGACCGTTCGCTAAGAATCTAATTAAAAGCAGTTGCCTGGCTGGCACGGGCGCGTGCACAAGAGCTAAATGAAACACTTACGCAATAGAGAATGATTGCAGCAAAAAGAGAAAATGCGAGAAAAGTAGAGAAAAGATCACTTAAAATTGTTGCAAATGATGAATTTGTTAAAATAAGTTTTGCGTAGACAAATTAGATTCAAACAGTATAAAAGCAAATCAGGATGCTTAAAATAAAACAAATGAAGAAGAGGAGTAAATGATGCGGCTAATCGCCGATAATTGCTGGTTTTAGTGGATGATTGAGCAATTCTGTGTTGACGTCCCTGTTTGTGAAAGCAGCTAATTTGTTGACATGCTCATCTGTACCTGGAATGAACTCAGACCACTTCTAATCAGTTCAACTGCATTCAATTATACAGTTTGTTGAAAATATTTTTTGCCCATCAAATGCGAAAAATAAATTAGATTAAATTAAAAGAGCATGCTTAAAAGGATGCTTGATGATGATGATGATTTGAAATGTTTGCTTTCTCCGCTGATTTAGGTCAATATTTAATGAGCACAACAGAAGGGAGTGAGTTCTGACGATTGGCGTTAACGAGCGCTACCAAGAAGATGCGATCAACAAACAAAGTAAACAAATATTCAAATCAAAAAGGTGAAAAACGTTAGTTGTTGTATTTTAGCTAACATCCATTGCAGTAGATGAAAGTGTTCCAATGAAAGTGAAGAAGGGGCACTGATATGGTAGCGTAGACAACAGCGGCCGATGGGCTGGACGAGAAAGCGATGTGCAACTGGAGAAAAGATGTACGAAGAAGAAGAAATGGAAAAAAAGAAATGCAATTAGTGTCACATTACATGGGCAAACAGCGGAGGATGACTACCGATTGGCAAATAAGGGGGAAAAGGCAAGAAAAGCAAAGAAGCTCGCTAAAAGTTTTTGGTCTTCACTTGAACACCACTACTGCTGCTGCTCGACTAGTGAGCTGATATATTCAATTCAGTTGAGTAGTGAAGTGGCCGCCAGACTGGTAAGCTTCTATGCAAGTGAGCAAAAAGAGCAACAATTATTTGGAAAAGGAAGAAGAGAAAGGGAGGGGGATAAACGAAAAGAAAATGCGATGTTTACTAAATCAATTGAATTGAAATGAAACTCATCAGCATCGATCTCTGAGTGTTCTGACTTGTCAAGTGAACGTGCATTGCTGATGCTCAGTGCAAAGACCAGTACAGTGGCAAGCATTCAGCAAGTTTGGCGGAGTGCAATGCAAGAGAATGAGAATAAGCAGTAGAGTATTGAGTGATGCCAGTGTGTTTACCACTGCTGTACTTTTTCACACTGATTCTCTGATTTTTTCAGAGACACACACGAATGCTCTGTCAGTTGAAAGCCAAAAAATAGGCAGCACTGAAAGATCGGCGTTGATAGATCGGCCGAGTTTCAAGTTGGCAGAAGTAGTGCTGCAAATGGTGCTGCTGCACCGGAGTGCGGATCATGTCATTTAAGGTAGGCATCACTGATCTTGCATAAGTACAGCATCATTAATGTCAAAAAGAAAGAATAAAAAACCAAAGTAGGCCACCTCTTTTGGCTTCTTTTGACTCTTGAAAAGGGCCAAGTATTTCCAAGCATAAACTGACTGAATGAGCATTAAATTGAAATAACAAAAATTAGTGGCATTGCTTGTGTTGTTGGTGGGTTGGCCGCAGAGCAAATGAGAATTTTGTAGCAAGGCACAAGATAAGCTGACATCTTTTTTATTCGGTAAGTTAGACGTTGGCGGCGAGTGAAAGGAGGCAAGTGCACTTTGGCGTCAGACTGAAGCCCGGGGTCGGCTGGATCAGAGTTGGTAATGCAATCAAGCGAATTATGAGATGGTAAATTTAATTAAAACTCTCATTTGGCCAACTGGCAACTGAGAGTGTGTGTGTCACTTGGTGCTCGATGATTGCGTCAGGGGCGCCATTAATTCAATTGAAGTCATTCACTGATGCTACTGCTGATGAGGATGATATCGATGGTAGATATTGCATAGCAGCGGTAGTGCTGCTGCTGAAACTGGTAAGTGTAGTGAAAGTGTAGGTAAACTTATAGTGGATGATACACTAAGAAAAAGAAAGGTCTGACAGCTTCGATTAGCATCAGCACGATGTGCGGTGTGCAACTCTAAGGTCAGCTGTGGAAATGCATTTGACGCTCAGTTGAGTACTCATGGGACGATTGGCTACTAGTTACACTACCAATTACACTAGTCATTACTCTACATCTGCTTTGCTAAAAAGATCGGTTTCAATGAACGAAATTGAGAAAGAAATGGAGGCAATTGTATGCAGCAGAGAGTAGGAAAATTAATTTGAAATGAACCAAATGGTATAGGGCAAATTGCTGTCAATTGGATGAAGCCAGCCCACGCAATGGAACAACAGAAAGCTAGACAAGCCTTGTTGCATTCAGACTAATGTCAGAAAACGGTGCTTCAAGCAAATGAAATGAAATGGTAAAAAATGAAAATTAAAAATGGAAATACGCTTTAGAATGTTGAGCTTGAAACTGGTGTAAGGCATCTAATTGAATTGAGTGCTCGGTGTTGAGAGCAAAGAGGAAGTGCTCGTCACTGGCGGCAGACACTGAGCCATCTCTTTCGGACGTTTGCCGCCGCCGTAGTAACTGGAACCAATGAGAGAGTGGTAGCGGTGGTAATCAAGTGATGAACGGCAGAGCTACTGCCACTGTAAAACGAAGAAAAATATCGTTCTCTCTTTCTCACTTACTAACATGGTGCCGGCCACTGAAAAACACACAAACACAGACAGACAGACAGCAAAAAAGAGAAAACGCAAACATTTCTACTGCGGGTGCCTTTCCATGTTCTCAAATGTCTTCAACGGCTGCTGCACTCGGACACACCGACAACGCACTCTACTCAACGAGAACGGTACACAATTTAATTTGAGTTTAGCAATTTTAAAAATGAGACAAGCAAGGGCGGCAACAGCACGCTTTTGTTTTGAGAAAAAGGAAAGTTTTTGTAGTTTCTAAAAAAGAGTTTTGTAACGAAAGACCGGACAAGGCAACTTGTGATCTCTGCCCGGTGCAATCACAAGTTTGGTCTGGCTAACACATAACAGTAAGTGTGCAAGAAAAAACTAATGTAAGAAACTGTAAATGGAAACAATGAAAAGTAGAAAAAGGAGATGCAGTGACGAAAGGGATGCAAAAGCGGCAAATCATTTGCTTTGCCGCTTTGATGTTTACACTGCACAAAATACGTACCACAATGCTGATGAGAGGCGTCTGTGCACTTACATGGGCTAGTAGTGTGCCTGAGAGAATGAGTGTCAGAGTGTGTGTGCTAAATGTGTGTGTGTGCAGACGGCGGCGTGATTGAGACCAGAACGACAACTGATGCTGCCGCTGAAGTGGGAGATGCTTTTCGAACGAACAGCTCAACTGCCTGGCACTCACCAAACGCCGACAGTGTGCGGATGCTTCTGCTGGTGCCACACTGCAGTCGCTGTGACAAGACGCCTGCTGCACGCAGGCGGCACTGTTGGTGCTGCGTGTTGCTGATTCTGATGCCGATGCTACTGCCACTCATTCACTTGCAGCAGTTCTGCTTGGTCACCGTGTTGGTGCTTCATATAGAACTGAACTGGAGAAAAGAAATGGAGAAAAGAGGAACACATTTTGCTCTACAACGAACAGTGTGCAGTCTGCTAATGCAACAACTGAGACCACCGCTTCAGTACGGTCAGACGACGACGGGCAACAGCGCAGTTCACTAACTTAGCGACACTTTTTAAACTGGCTTGCACTTACTAGGAAGATGACATACCGCACTTTTTGAGGGGTTTGGCCATGTTGATTCTGACTAGATTTTACACTTTTCCATTATCACTGATTTGCATTTATTGTTTTTTTCAGTTTTCGAAATAAATTTTAAAAAACAAAAAAATTGCAAAGTTGTATATGGAAATGTCGGTTATTAAATTAGATTTCAATTGAATTTACACAATTTTGTTAATAAATTTTAAAAAAATTTTAAGCAGTTTATTTATAAAAATGTCATTTTAAAAATTTTAATAACAATGAAAATTATGCAAAAGCTTAGACAAGATTGCAAAGCATGCAACCCAATCTGTGCTATTTTGAACCACAAAAATTGTGTTATTATTAATAAACTTGACAAAAATATATTGTGATTCTTCTTTGCGCAAATAATTTGCATTATAAAGCTAGTCAAATAGTAAAACACTGTGAATTGTTCGTGTGTACTTGACAGGCGAGAAAATTGCTTTTTCTCAGAAAAATAGAAATCAAAAATTTGTTTTTATTTTGTAGTAAGTCTACATTTACAAAAAAGCAGATGATATATTTTATAAACAGTAATTAAATTAAATTAAAATTGATGTATAAAAAAAATGGTTGCCAGAGGATATACAAGCAGAACAGTTGAATTAGGAAATAAGCAAAAAAATAAAATATAAAAATTGTTATTATTTTACCATTTTTGGACATTTTCAATTAAGATTCAAATAGAAAAATTATCTAAAAGTTTAATAAAAATCTATTGTTAAAATAATTTAGTTAATTTGCTAATTATGATAATCGTGTAAGTATATTTCAAAGCGACAAGCTCAAATCAACTTCAATTTGACTAAACCAATTTGTGTTGTTAATAAAATTTAAATGTTTAAAAGCTAATAGCATTTAGCATGACTAAATTAAAATGTTAAAAATAATTTTTTAAGTGCATAAAACTAGTATTTAGCAATTATCAAAAAGAAATGCAGTGAAGCTGTCTTTTAGACGCTCAAAGCACTCAGGAAAACCTTAAATGTGAAAAATTTACATCTCAAATACTTTTAAAAACCAATTCAAGCAAAGATAATACCGGAATGTGATTGGCCTACTAAGTCACATGTGTGTAATTTATGCAATTCATCCAGCATAAATTGCTGTCAGATGGCCAAGCACACACACATCGACAGTGGTCAAATGAAAGACTGTCATCTGGAAGTGCTCTCTGCTCTCTACTTCTCAATCTCTCCAATGAATTGCATCCATTTGGGTGTGTTACCAAAATCGGCAGAACGGTGACATATTTGCGTCGTATTTATACTACCGGACACTGGGATGAATACAAAAAAATAGAGCTAAAAACTGCAGCAGACAAGTGACTTCACTTACTTACGATAGTTCACCCTGATTGAACACTAAGATTGTGTCTATTGAGAGGTTCTTTGGACAACACATTTAGCGGTCATGTTTGCTTACATTCGCTCTTTTGCTTAGACGCTTAGATGTGATACAGAAATTGCACTTTACTGTTTGCATTTGCATTCACCGTATATCTTTTGATGTTTCATTCTGAGACACAAATTAAACATCGACTTGCCCCAAATAATGATAAATTACAGGTTAAGTAAATATTTTGTAACATAATACCACTGGGAAAAAGCACCTAAAAAATTATTTGCAATCCAGGTTGATGATAAAATGATTAAAAAGCTTATTGTTCTACTAAAGATCATATGTTGAAAATTACAATGTCACAAATGTTACAATTTTTAAATTGATTTGGTATTTATTCACAAAATTCAAAAATACTCAAAAACATCATTTTAAATGTAAAATAAGTTATGTAGAAGTTAAACAAATAATAGTGACAAAAGGTTAATAGTACAATCGACTTATTGTCAATAAAATAAAATTCTTTAAACTCAGAAAAATAAATTTAAAAAATGTTTGTTTGAACTGTTGAACATAAAAATCAAATCATGACTACATAATAGAATGCAATAAAAAATAACAAATACTGAACAAAATTTCAGATAAAAGGAAAAGATGCATTAGATAAAAAATAAAAAATCATTTAACATTGACAAACTAATGAAAAGTTGTAACACTAATAAGGGCTGTGTCTAAAAATATCGGCCGTTGTGAAAACTAAAGTCTACAAAATGCACGCATGTACAACTCGGAAAAGAGTTNGATAAAAAATAAAAAATCATTTAACATTGACAAACTAATGAAAAGTTGTAACACTAATAAGGGCTGTGTCTAAAAATATCGGCCGTTGTGTGAACTAAAGTCTACAAAATGCACGCATGTACAACTCGGGAAAGAGTTATCAAACATCAAACACTAAAACTAAAACGCGTCTTGCATTGCGAGTAAACATTATTTAAAGATTAGTGAAACAGTTTTAATATGTGCTCTCTACAGCTGCGTCTGCACAGTGAGCCGATTACCAGACGTTATTATTAAAAAACGCCAAAAAGTTACCCCAACTTGCTGTCTGGTAACTAGGCTGCAGGAAAAAATGAACGATTAAATTTAATTTGTTGCTACACCACTGCAGTCCAACACCAACCCCACTTCCGTGTACAAGACAAAAAGAAATATAAAATGGAGCAATATCATTGTCAATCTATAAAATGTGTGCAGTCTGGTTGAAGGACTACATTTGCAGAAAAGCTAAATTGGAAGAACAACAACAGGAGAGAAGTCAGGTGTAATTCTCAGAAGAGTTTTGGCAATCACTTTCCGCTTGGTTGTATTGTCTAAAAACAGAGCACTTGAAATAGACGTGAACAGAAAACAGAAATTGTGAACACGCCGCCTAGACTAGGCAATAATTCATCCAACTCTCAATTGTATTGAATGCCACCAGACCACAAAAGGTGAAACAAAAAAGAAAAAAATGCAAACGATTCAGATAGTTTGCTTAAACTTAGTGTGTAAAACAGTTGTACTAGCAAGAATTGGGAAAAAATTGGTTCAATCCACCAATATCTTTTTTTCTGTAAAAATTGGCAAATGTCGCCGAGAGCAGGAACAACTGTAGTGCCCCCTTCCTCGCAGCCATTTGTGCCAGTTGAACTGAGTAATCCGTCTGCTTCAATCAGCAACATATTTGCCAATTCGGCATGCCCACACACACAATTCTGCTCACTGAACCCCTGCACAGCTTGTTAGTTAGTCTGTGCGGGCCTTTTTAGTGGCACTTAGTTTGCCCTCGCTAAAGCTCAGCGGCAAAGATCACTGAAACAAATCTGTAAATGGATCTGTCAGTGTTAGTGTCAACAGCAGCAATTAGTAATTTTTTGCCTAAATGCCAACAGCGTTTATGACGCAAAGAAGTCTAGCCAACATCAGTGAAATAAAGTACTTTTTAGCGATCCATCACTAGTAGAGAACAATAAGTAAAAAAATCAAAATGAAAACTGACACGCACAAAAAAAATAGTGCTTCATATTCAATGTAATTTAATTTGCAAAAAGTACCAACTCTGCTCTACTGTCGTCACTGCTGCTGCTGCTGCTAGGCAGGTGGATCATTAGCAGCTTTGCCATCATTAGCTTCGGCACCGGTGGCTTCAGCATCACCTTCAGCAGCAGCTGCCTCGGCAGCCAACTCCTCCGCAGCGCCAGCATTCACGTCCTCACCCTGTCCCTCCAGCGCTTCCATCTCCTCGGGTGTGCCTTGCTCTTTGGCCTCCTCCGGTGCCTGCATCTCCTGCTCATCAGCCACTCCCTCCACGTCGACGCTCCCATCTGGCGCCACTTTGCCTTCGCCATCTTTTCCTTCCTCCTTCTCCATCTCCTCCTTGGCGACCTCGTCCATTTCCGGTTCCGCCTCCTCCTCCTTCGCCTGGTCACTCTCCGCCTGAGCGTCGTCCGCTTCTGCCTCCATTTCCTGTTTGCTGACGCCGCCATCTAGATTGCTGTGGTTGTCTTTTCCCTCCGCCGCCTTTTCTTCCTTATCATCGCCTTTAGCAGAGGCGTCAGAAGCAGCAGTCTTTTCCGTTTTTGCCTTTTTAGAATCACTGTCAGCTGTGGCGGATTTGACCTTCTCCTTTGTGCTCTTGCTGCTACTTTCCGATTTAGCAGCTTTTGACGACTTGACAGCTAATGATTTGGGCTTTGCTGATGTTGGCTTTGAAGCTGTGGTCGACTTGCTCTTTTTAGACTTACTTGTTGAAGATTTTGATTTTGAATGCTTGTCCTTTTCAGACTTCGAAGTCGCCTTGACTGATTTGGCAGACTTTTCAGCAACTGGCTTTGATTTAGGTTTTGACGGTTTGCTGCTCTTTGGCTTCTTCTTTTCTGATTTCTTATGCTTTGCAGATTTTCGTTTGCCAGACTTGGATTTGATCTTTGATGTTGCCTTTTTACTGGAAGTTGACGATTTGGAAGATTTCGAGGTCGAGCCCTTCATGGAGGCGCCGATGCTCGCCTTGGAGAGCTTTGACGTGCGACTGCCATTCTTGTCGTTAGTTAGGGTAGACCCACTCGAGTAGCCTGACTTGGACAGCGATTTGAGCTGTTTGGATTTCGATGAAGAGGAGGAGGAGACGGCAGTGTGAGAACCACTTTTATTACCACTTGAAGAGCCAGCCGGGACACTACTACTTTTAGCGCTCTTCACCGCACTTGAAGAGTGCACTGCCGGTGATGAGGAGGAGTAGGTGCGAGACTTGGCGACGGCTGACTTGGCGTGAGAGGCAAACGATGACGACTTGCTCTTCACAAGAGCTGAATGGGTTTTGGGAGATTTAGATGCTGCTGATGCTGATGGTGGTGCAGCACTGTGCTGCTGCTGCTGCTCCTTCAGCGGCTTCCCACGGACGCTCCGGTTCACCAGCTGCCGCTCCTCAACGCTGAAATAGCTGTGCTTGAGCGCCTCCCGGGCGTGTATGCGCCGCTTGCTGTCAATGACGAAGATGCGGTTGGCCAGCGAGCGGACGATCGGGTTCAGCGGGTGCTGGCGCACAAATCGCCGCCACTGAGCGCTGAACTTGAGGTGCGCCCGAACATGGAACGGATAGCGACCGGTGGTGAGGGAAATCAGAATGACGCCCACTGCCCAGACGTCTGCCTTGGAGGGGTCGTAGAGGCGGTGGAAGGCCTCCGGCGGCAGGAAGTTGTTCTTCCGGGCTCGACGCTCCCGATGCTGGTACAGTGCCTTCTTCCGCTTTGCGTCGTAGAAGAGCACCGACTTGCTCCAGCCGACGATCTTCAGTGAGTGGTTGGGATGATTATCTGAAGAAGAACTGTGCTGCTGTTCAATGAGAATGTGCTTCAGCTTGATAAAGCGGTGAGCGATGCCGTACTTCTGCATCTCGCACACCGCCTCAATGAGACTTCTGATCCAGCCACGGATGCGACCAGGCGACAGGTGCTCACCGGAGAGGACCACGTCGTAGAGTGACTTGCAGCCGCAGTCGCTCATAAAGATGTAGTACACCTTCTCTGCCTGGTGGGGAAAAAGTTAGTAAGTTTCAAAGGGCACTCCTCCGCAAACCACTGACCAGAAAAATGTCGTACACCTGTGGAAAGCTGCTCAGCAGCGGCCGCCGGCCGATAAAGCGCATAATCTTCAGACTGTAGCACTCCATGGTAACTTTGTAGCGCGGCGTGCAGTACTTCAGCTCAATCATCTTGCAGATCATCCTCTTCCCCTTTGGCCCGGTGGCTCGCTTCAGTCCGTCCTGGTCGGGCACTGCCTCCTTCAGCTCGTAGTGCCGCGTCTTGAGCTCCTTCGCCGACTGAAGCTCGGTGGCCCCTCTGGTGCCGATCACCTTGGCCATTTCCTTGCACAGCTTTGGCCTGCCCTTGACATTGGAAGCCTCAAAGCTATTGTTGCTGCTGCTGCCACTGGCGATGGCCTTCCCAGTGGCTTTCACGCTTTTGGTACTCTTTGCCGAGTGCTGTGCAGAGGCGCCAATGACACTTGCACTCGCAGACGGCTGTTCAGAGTGCTTGGCGCTCTTCTTCGAAAAACCGCTCACTGTTTTGCTGGCCGAGATGGTGCTCTTGCTAAGGGAATTTTTGGAGGATTTGGTCATGTTGGGTCATGTAAAAGTGGGTGGCAAAAAAGGAAAGGAACGTGTAATAAAAAGAAATGAAAGACTCAGTTTGTAGCCATTTTATATCTCGAACATGTTCGAATTTTGAAAAATCTTTCCACAAGCTGAGTTGTTAATTATGCGGTTGACAATAGGTTTACAAGAATGGTGAAATGATGCAAAAACGTGAGGCTGTAAGTTTAGAGTGTGAAGTTCGGGAGCTACTGAGAAATCTAGCTATTCCTGAAAGTTCTCTGAGAAAAGTCTCTACATTGAAGTGACGGCAGGCAGCCTTGCATCATAGTAAACAATGAGCTGGATTTCTCGGCCTACTTGTGAAAAAAATATGAAAAAGGAAGATTTAAAAACCCTAGCAAAGATACTAAAAACTCGCAACTCTCAAACCTTGCTTTGCTCATCGTTTAGGGCTTCATCTGGCGATTGTTCACCAGGCGAATCTTGTTCCGGTTCAGCTGTTTTCTCGGCATTTTGAGCCTTCTTTATACCACTTCCATGGGTTTCATTAAAGTGCTCCACTACTGGCTGACGGTTAATGTGAGTGAATGAGCACTTTTCGATTCTACACTTGAAACTTCCACGCTCGTGATTCGCGTAGTTGTGATACTTCAGTTCGTTCCATGAGTCACACTCTTCGCTACAAAATAGGCACTTCCAACTTTGAATACTTTTATGTATAGTTTTAATGTGCTTATGTAGCTTGGCCCTGGAAGGTGAAAAAAGAAGTGAAAAAAGAAGTGAAAAGAGTCATTTGTGACAATTGTTATCATTGAACTGGGAAAAAACACACTTACAGTCGGCGAACGCTGTAAGCACATCTGGGCGCAACACATCGGTTCTCGAAAACCTTGTGCTTCTTTTCAAGGTGCATCAACAGCCGAGCCTCCGTGGGAAGTTGTTCGTCACAGCGGGAGATTGGACAGTCAACTGAAATGACAGTGTATGGTTTCGTGGACCAGTGCACCTTTTTCACCTCCGTTGTCTCTTTGTTGGTAGAGCTATCGAAACTTCTTTTTTCACCACGAGGTTCTCTTGCTTCATCAGTCCTGTCTTCAACAACTTCACGACTGTTTTCCTCCATGTTCGGATAACGGTTTTGGTAAGCAAAAATCACTTCTGAAAAGCCCAAAAGTACCGCAGCGGTACTACCGCTAAACTGTTTTTGTGTCATTTGAAATACGTGACGCAGAACTTTATTTTTTTCTCGCAAAGCAGTGCTGCCACCTAGAAAAACATGGCAAAAATATAAAAACGTTATGTACAAAAAGAAACGGCCTGTGCAGACTGCACTATCTGCACAACTCAATTCCCAGCCAAGAATCGGGATAGTTTCTGACGATCAACTTTCGTAGCTCTTCGTAGACGAACAGGTAGATGAAGAAGGGAACACCGGTGCACCAGGCCCATCCGCTGACCGTAGAGAAGGTGAGTGCTTCATTCAGTCCAGGCACGTAGACGACAATGACGGCAATGGGCGTCTCGAATAGAATGGAAAAGTTGAGCAACCAATTGTCCATGCCGTGCGTGAAGATGCTCGAGCGGCGAGTCTTGTTGACGATTACGTCCATCCACTGAACGACCACTGAAGTGAAGTAGGCCGATTGACCTTTGGCCATAATCTCCTGTCTCTGAGGTAAGGTCTGCAAAGAAGAACTTGTGTTAGTCCACTCAATCAATCAATCAAAGTGATTTCAAAACTAACCCATTCTTGGCCGTAAGCGTCTGTCATTTCAGTGTCCAGCTCCCAGTTATTGCGTAGCTGCCAAAAATACCAGGGCATCCAGCCCCACTGCATGAGGCAAACAAAGTAACCTTCAAAGAAAAAGTTAAATAAAGCTGAGACTTACTCAGTCCAGTTCTACCCTCCTTACCCAAGTAGCCGGAAAATGTGACAATGAATCCGCCCTGGAAGAAGCTCCAAAGAATTAGCGATTGCGTGACGAGAAAGTCTTTCTTAGGGTTTCGAGGCATCAAATTCATGATATCAGATTCAGCCTTCTCATAGCACAAACTGATGGCCGGCACCATGTCAGTTCCCAGGCAAATGCACAGGATCATGATCGGTGTAATAGAAACGGGAAAGCCAAATGCTGCAAAAAGGTAAAAAATTAAAAACAAAGCTTCAGCAATAGACGAAAATTTCCTTACCCAGAAAAACAATAAACGGAAAAAGAGTACTGAAGTTACCGGCCAAAATGTAAGAGATAGTCTTCTTTAGATTGTCAAAAATCTTGCGACCTTCCTCGACGCCAACGACAATGGTAGCAAAGTTGTCATCCATGAGAATCATATCGGCGGCCTGCTTCGACACATCCGACCCGGTGATGCCCATGGCCACGCCAATGTCTGCCTTCTTCAGCGCCGGCGAGTCGTTGACGCCGTCTCCGGTGACTGCGACAATCTTGCCCAGACTCTGGCAATTCTCCACAATGCGCAGCTTCTGCTGTGGCGACGTCCGCGCAAAGACTATCTCATTGAAGTCCCTCAGAATTTCCTTTAGCTGATTGTCCGTCAGCGTTCCCAGCTCATCGCCGGGCACTACTATAGAGGCGGAGGAGCGCGCCTTGTTGACCTTCTTGTCGATTTTGGGCAGTGAAATCTGCGTCGACCGCCGATGGGAGGCCGAGATGATGCCCACCGACTTGGCGATGGCCTGCGCCGTGATCGGGTGGTCGCCGGTGACCATGATGACGGCGATGCCCGCCGCCTTGCACTTCATGACGGCGCCCGGAACGGTGGCCCGCGGCGGGTCGATCATCGCCACTAGGCCGATGAAGCGCAGGTCCTTCACTTCAAAATCGTTTCCCTCGTCGAGGTTGAACTTGTGGTCCGGTGCGAAGCCCTGCAGGTCCATGTCGCAGAAGGCCAGCACGCGTTCGCCCATTGAGCCCAGCTCGCGGTAGGCCGTCTCAAAGTCCTCCTTGTCATCGTCGCTCAGCGGAACTGTTTCGCCTCGTTCTGAAAACATGGGTGAACTTCTAGTGAGCATTTTAATAATCTTTCGCAATTTGTTCTACTTACCGTTCAGAATGTACGAACAGACGGCGAGCACTCGCTCTGGGGCGCCCTTCATGACGAAGAAAAAGTTGGCATCACCTGGCTGCGACTTGTCGGTGTTTCGGTGCACCGAATACTGGTACTTGTACACCGAGCTGAAGGGTTTCTCCGCCACCTTGCTGAACCTCTGGCGGTACTCTTCCACTGGTGGCGAGACGCACTCCATGAACTTGAGAATGGCCGTCTCAGAGGCGTCGCCGCTGCAGGTTCGCTTCAGAATGTCCGGATTGGAGGTGTCGGTGAAGACGGCGCGGGAGCACAGCTTGGCACACCTTTGATAGGCTTCCCAAGAGGGCACAATGTCCTTCATGTCCTCCTTTACCTCAACTGCATCATGCGACACTCGGGTGATTCGCGCCGCCAGGTAGATGTGCTCCACGGTCATTCGATTCTCTGTCAATGTGCCCGTCTTGTCGCTGCAAATTGTCGAAGTGGAGCCCAGCGTCTCCACCGCCTCCAGGTACTTGATCATGCAGTTCTTTTTGGCCAGTCTCTTAGCGGTCAGCGTCAGGGCGACGGTCATTGCCGGAAGCAGGCCTTCAGGGATGTTGCCTGTTTAAAGATAAAAAAGTTTTAAAATCTGAAAATTAAAATGTGTTTTTGAGCGGAAACCCTACCGACAATAATGCCGATGCAGAAGATAATCGACTGAGTGGCTGGCATTCCAATGATCATGCAAACAACAAAGAAGATGACTCCCTCGCCGATCGCAAGTATGCCGATAAAGATGACGAACCGGTGAATTTCTATAGCAATCGGCGATGTGTTGGTCTAAACTCAAAGAGGAGAGAAGAGTTGTTAATCAATCTTTTAATGAGAACAAAAGTATTTCAATCTACCTGAATGTTGGTGACTAGTTTGGCGATTTTGCCCATGACCGTGTTGTCACCTGTTGAAATGACCACGCCAACGCCACTGCCATCGACGCATGACGTCGAGAAGAAGGCAATGTTCTTCGCCTCCAGTGGCATCTGATGACCTGCTTCGGGTGACCGAGACAATGGCTCTGATTCTCCGGTCAGCGATGAATTGTCCACCTTCATTCCTTCACACTTGAGAATGCGAACATCGGCGGGAATCCGCTCTCCGCCCTTGCAGAGCACAACATCGCCCACCACTAGATTGGTGGCCGATATATTTTGCTGTTTGCCGTCCCGAATGACGGTCGTTTGCTGGGGAAGCATATTCGCAAATGACTCGAATATTTTGCCACTACTTTGCTGTTGACTCCAGCTGTACACTCCGGTGATGATTACCACAACAGCGAGGACAATTGCAAGAATGTACTGTAGAGAAAAAGTCATTCAGGCATTAGAGTTAATTTAGAACATCCTTTTAAAACCGAAAACATACGTCCTGGTCAAGCCATTCGATGAAGTAGATGATAATGGAGGCAATGACGGCAATCCAGAAGAGCATAGCAAATCCGCCCACCAGCTCCTTGAGCAGCATCACCCAGGCAGGCGTCACCTTGGGCGGACTGAAGGCATTCGGTCCGTCTCGCTTTAATCTCATTTCAGCCTCACTCGTCGTCAGGCCGTTCACTAGATCGGTTTTCAGCTTCTGCTCCAGCTCGGCAGGCTCTAACAGGTGCTCAGTGATGTTCACTTCTTTGGCCAAGTTCAGTTCATTGTCCTGTTGATTTTACTCAGTGTTACTAATGTAGTTGCAGAAAAAGACTACCTGATGTAATTAGTTAATTACCTCTCCCCCAGATTCTGAGTCGCCTTTCCCGCAGCAACAGCAGAAAAGTCTTTTAAAGCTGAATTTCGGTTTTGGGGGTGCTTCCATGGGTCTTTTCTCATCCTCAATGGGGATGGTAACGAGATAATTTTTGTTGTTGTTGGTGAGATCGTGGCTTTTAGAGAATCGACGAAAGCCGGATATTTGAACTTGCTTATCAGCGTAGTTATCAATAGTGTACACACTGTCTTTGATTGGTAAATCTGAGCGCATTTTCAAGCACTTGAAGATATTTTCAAGCTGGCGCCAAATTTAACCGTTGGCAGAATATCAACTTCAATGGGATTTATATAAGCAGGTAGAATTTTCATTTCTAGCATTTTAGACCCTCTGACAGTGCACATTTACCGATCATGAATCTTATCTTGTTGTGTAGGATGACCATGGTACATCTAACTTTCAATTGATTGGAAGTTCTGGTGACATAAAATGGAAACGTCATTCTCATTCGTTTACACTGACGGTCAGTGGCAGGAGAAGTGATCTGACGACATACTGACACTGACACTGTGGGCTGGTGTCACAGGTGTCACTCACCACTCACTTTGCTTGATGATTATTCACAGCAATCTTAGACACTTGTACAATGTTCTCGCTAGAGATAGTTTGCGTTTCTTCAGCGTTACCTCCTCTTCCTAATGTACATTGCGTCAATTACCTAATCAGATGGGTACTTGAGACAGAGCATTCATCTACCTAATCTGCATTAATTACCTCGTTGGGTGATTAGCAATTGTTTGCTTAATTAAGCTTTTTACCCATAATGTACAATGAAAATAAACAACGACTCATTGCCAACGATTCACTGCAAGTTAATGTCCAGTCGGCACAAACTAGTTTTGGGCAGAGAGTACTATCTGCCTGATGACGATAGTAAAGTGAAGTTTCGTTTTTTACCCTCTTTAATTACACGATAATTTGTGTTTTGAAGTTATGAACTTCCTTAAATGCAGTTTACAAATTAATTTGTTTGTTTTTCTTAAATTTTGTCACTTGTTGGCCAAATGCATGACCGGTGCGTTTATTTTAGACGTTGAGGGAATGTTTTGTTTCAAGCAGAAAAAATTATAAAAAAATTGCTGTTATTCAAAATCATTGTCAGTTAGGCACAATGATTTTGTACGAAAAAAACTTTGCCATTGACTGTGAACAAAAAATCTGGTTAACGGCATAAGTTGCAAATGTGTGATATTGCGTGCTACTGGTTCTTGAGTGAGGCTAATAAGGTGGGCAAATGAAAGTCCTCAAGTTAGCCTTGCCAGTGACTGCCTGCCACTTTGCCCCGGACAAACACAGCAAAAAAGTGAAATGAAATCAATCGTAGGCCGTGACAGTTGCGCATTGTCTTTGTCACTGACTCTCTCCCTCTTTGAATTGTCAGCAATTTTTTTCCTCACTGCTCGTCGATCTACTTTAGCAGTGACGGACACCTGACGATGACATAAGCAAAGACTGTCATTGTGACGCTGTGCTTTTCGAATACATTACCACCAGACCAGAGCAGCAGTGTTGGTGGTGGTGGTGGTGGCAGTGCCAGCATTGGCCATCTGCACTGAAAAGTCGTTTACACCGATTTTTTTACAAGCGCAGCCTTTGCCAACCTTGTTTCCCCTCTTCAAAAAGAGTGTGCTTGTTTGGAAATAGCCAATAGCCAGTGGGGAAGACCATCTCACCAATAAAAATCGCCTTCATTTACTGCAGGTGCACTGACTGAAGTGATGTCTGCCGGGTGTGCCGTTAGTTAGCCGTTGGGTTCAGTTGATGCTCCAGGTGATCGCCTTGTAACAATCAACTGATGGTATAGACAAAAAACAAGACACTTCAACAAAACTTGTTCATCAGCACCTGCAACATTTTCAGCAATTGTGATTGATTCCTCAACAACTCAACAAATTCTCTCAAGATGCAGCAGCGTCTTTTGGCTAATTTCAGCACTTTCTCCTCAAAAGACTTCACCCACATTAACCGCAACTGGTCCCACTACCCCGGTCTGCAGTTTACTTTTCAGTTCGAGGAGTACCTGGTGGACTACCTGGAGGTGTTTCGCAACTATGTGCGCAATCACCCTCTGCTGCCACTCTCGCTGACGCTGGTGTACTGCCTCTCCATAGTGCGGGTAAAGGAGTGGATGCAGTACCAGCCGCCGTATAAGCTGCGAGTTCCGCTCATCCTCTGGAACGCCGTCCTGGCCATATTTTCCATCATGGGCTCCATCCGAGTCCTTCCCGAACTCTACTGGATGATCACCAGGCAGAGCTTCTTTGCCTCCACCTGTGATGATCGGTTCATTGACGTAAGTGAGAACGAAACCACCACCAATCAATCAATGTTTCAGTTTCAATAATTTCTGTCATCTGTTTCCCATCACCAGGACAGTCGCCTCTTTCTGTGGATCTTCCTCTTTGTCTTCTCTAAAATCTGGGAGTTTGGCGACACTCTGTTCATTCTCCTTCGCAAGCAGAAGCTGCTCACCCTTCACTGGGTCCACCACGCACTGACGCTTAACTTTGCCTGGTTCAGCATGGTCAATCTGCCTGCTCCTTCGAGGTAAAGCTTTTTTTGCAAGAAAAATTACTCTAATGCCAAATTTCAAACAGATGGCTCTGCTCCATGAACTATCTGGTCCACTCCTTCATGTACACGTACTTTGCCGTGATGGCCTCTGGAGTTCGTGTGCCCAAACCGGTGGCCCAGCTGGTGACCTTTCTACAGATCGCCCAGATGACCTTTGCCCTGTACCTACAGGTGCAGTCCCTTTGGCTGTCGAAACAGTGCAACGTCCCCCTCGGTCTGACCACCTTTGGCTTTCTGATGTTCCTCACCTTCTGGGCGCTCTTTGTCAAGTTCTTCTTTGACAAGTACTTCGGCGCAGGAGGGAGAACAACAACAACAATAAAGAAGACCGTCAAGAAGGAGTAGCTAACTGTAAGTACAACAAACGAAAATGTAGTCACGTTTCACAAAAAAAATAATTAATGTGTATGAGTAACTCAAATAACTCCAACTTACATTTCCGCAATTTGTTTGTGTAGTGATTACTGACNCAAAGGGGGGGGGGGGGGTAAAATAAATGGAAAAGTGTATACACGCAAATGAAGTAGTAGTAGTGCTTACTAAAAGAAAAGTGTATGCGTCTAAAGAAGAAACAGTGTCCGACTCTACTCACTGTCCGAAGCTTTTCTCTTTCTCGACCCTGACTTTTCTTTGCCGTTCACGTGAAGGTTGAACTTGTACTCCTGATCGGCGCCCATGTACGAGTCACACATAAAATACAGCGTGTAAGAGTAGTCGCCGGGTGCTGCTGGCGCCTGAAACTCCAGCTTTACCTTGGCCTTCTTCTGCAGTGTGATGCGCTTGATGGAAATGAGCGAGTTTGCCTTCAGGTCACCAATCACCAGCCACCAGTTTTCGTCACGTTTACAGTTCTGCAAAAGGGGGTAACAAAAGAGTTAAATATATGATTAAAGTTGAGAAAGTTTAAAACACTAACCCGAGGGAAGAACGGTGCCATCACGTGTCCGTAGTCGTCGTCCTCTCTGGCCACGTCAGCCAAAACGGTCACTGTAGAGTCACTGTTGGAAAAAGGAAAATAAACAGTTAGCATACAATAAAAGAGATCAAAACATTCAAGCCCATACCTGTCAATTTGATCCTGATCAACCACCTCATATTCAAGCACTATATTGGGATACTGGTTGCAGAACCGAGCCACATCGGCCATCTTTTTGTTGTCCAGCTGCAGCAGCTTATTTCGATCCTCATCATCCAGGTCCATAATGTCAAAGATCGACTCGACCTCGTGCTTCTTGCAGCGCTCAATAATTTCGCTGCTAAAGTGCGGCAGCTGCCGTAGGTAGGAGTCCTTGTTCCACACCGCCTGGGTGATCATCTGCGAGAACTCCATGGCGGCAATGGCCGGCGTCAGCCAGCCATTGGAGCTAATGACGTCGATACAGGCGCGAATCAGCGAGATGGCCTTCACGAGAATCTGATCCAGGTCAGACTGCAGCTCGGCGGAAAGGACAATACGGGAGAGGTGCGCCTGCAGAAGCAGGTTCGCCTTCACATGCGGATCAGAGAGCTTAACGTTTGGGATCTTGTTGGGCACCTTGGCGAGAATCTTCCCCAGCAACTCCGTCTCCCGGTGGCGGATGGGAATGCTCTCGTACTCGGTGGCATTGCTGATGATCTCAATTAGACCGCGAATTTTGGTGTTAGCCTTCAGCGACAGGCTAAACAGCTCAATGGTGGCGTAGTTGATGTAGTAGTAGTTGGCAATCAGGCCCAGATTCAGCGCGCTCAGGTCAATGTCGTTCTCGATGGCGATGCACTTTGACTTCTCCAGCTCGGTCAGCGTGCTCTCCACCAGCTCAGAGAGGTGGTCCGAGAGGTGGCGATGCGTGACGCCGGAGAGGTTGTAGTAGTTGGGATTCTGCGACATGCGCCGGTAGAGGAAGGTCCAGGTGAGGTAGTCCACCGCGTCCTGCTTGTTCTCAATCGTCTGCGTGCCAATCTCCGCGTTGAAGTGGTCGTACAGCGAGTGGTCGAGATGGGACTCGATGGGCAGCGGCTCAAAGAGGAACTTCTTGAAGAACTCCTTCTTCGAGCTCTGGCAGAAGAGGACGCACTTGCTGTCGCTCTCGTGCTCATCCCCCGGCCGGCCGGCATGGCCCACCATCTGAATTACGTCGGAGATGGGGTAGTCCTCGTAGGCGTGAATGCGTCCATTGTACAGCTGCGTGTCCATGATGATCACCAGGTAGGCGTTGATGGTGGTGGACCAGCAGAGGGCCGCCGACATGACCACCACCTGGATGGCGTTCGCCGCGAAGAGCCGCTCCACTATCAGTCGATCATTCAGCGTGGTGCCCTCGTGGAGGAAGGCGACGCCGTTCACCACGTAGTGTCGCAGCTCCTCGTCGTTGATCCTCTCCAGGTGCGGCTTCAGGTGCTCCTCCTCGATGTGCAGAAACTTGCCCGGGTCGTTGTCGGCGGCGGCAAAGGTGAACATGTCGAGGGCGGTCAGGCGAGACTGCCGCCGCGAGGGCACAAAGATGATGGTGGAGCGGTGCGGGGCGCGCGACATGATCGCCTGGTAGGCGGGCTTCGACATGGCCAGAATGCGCGTCCCATTGTGCGTCTGGTTGAAACCGCGAATGTACAGCTCCAGCGGAAGGGGGCGCACATTGGGGTGAAAGTTGAAGGTGTGCCCCGAGCTGCAGCCCAGCCACTGTGAGATGTCACGGGAGTTGGCGATCGGCGAGGAGAGCGCCACAATGCGAATCTGCTTCTCAATCTGCGAAGCCATGTAGCGCATTCGCGAGGCGATAATCTCGTAGACGGGCCCGTCCTCCCCGCCCAGCAGCTGCAGATCGTCCACAATGAAGAGGTCCACATTCTGCACATTCTTGCGCTGCTTCCACCGCCGAGAGATCAGGTCCCACTTTTCATGCGTGGAGACGATGACGTTTCCCTCAGCAATCAGCCGCAGGTCAATCGACGAGTCGCCCGTCAGCAGGACCACCTTCAGACTCTCCAGCGGCTTAAACTTCTTTGTCCATTGGTCGCGGACAATCTGCGCTAGCTGCTGCTTCGGCGTCACGTAGACGCACTTGCCCTTGCCCCCCGACACCATCAGCCAGCGGAGGATGGCAATCTCCGCGCAGACGGTCTTTCCGCTCCCATTCGGCGCCCCGATGAAGACATTGTCATCGTAGTTGTACAGCGAGTTGAAGACCTGCGTCTGAATGGCGTTAAAGTGGGTGAACTTGTCGCTGTACAGTCGGCTGAACTGCTCATTTCGAAGGGCGTCCAGCGGGAGCGGCTGCAGGTCGAGCAGCTCAGTTGGCGGGGCAAACTTCTCCGGGAGAATGAGGTGCCGAAAGGAGACGGGAAAGATGGTCTCCGCGCCGATCCATCGGTCAGAGGTGATGCGAATGAAGTACTGCGGCGGCAGCGGGTCAAAGACGGGAATGAAGAACTTGACGATGTGCTCATCGGTGGCGTAGCGCTGCTTGAGGAGAAAGTACTCGTGGTGCAGAATGACCTCGCCATCGACGTCCTCAATGAGAATCCAGAACGCTTGCGAGTTGCCGTGAATGCGCTCCACCCACTGAAAGTCCGGTCGGATGGTGAGCTCCACTTTGAGCGTGGACCGGGTGATCGGCTGAATGTGTGCCTCCAGTTCCAGCTTGGGAAACATGTGCACGTACTTGTGCACCGGCTTGCCAAACTTCGGGTTCTTCAGGAGCTCGCCAATTTCATTGGGGCCCAGGTCGTAGAGGCGCTCAAAGGCAAAGCCCTTCTTCTCCAGCTTCTTCACCACCTCCTCGTTGAGGCTCTTAAACTGCCGCAGCGGCGACAGCGACTGCCACATCCGCCGGTCGATCATCTTGCAGAGGGAGAGCGTCTTGTCGGCCATCTGCGCCCAGCCGCTGAAGAGAACAATCTCGTGGATGGCGCGCATCAGCCGGGCGGCCGACTGCGTCACATAGACCATGTCCGACATGAGGGCCAGTCCCTCCAGCTTGAGCTGGGAAATGTACGCCTGCAGCAACACGTTCACCTTCGCCGAGGGCTCGTCAATGGACTCCTTGATGGGAATCGGAACTCGCTCCATCAGCTTCTGCAGCTCCAGCTTCTCCTCCTCGCGAATGGTGATGTGCTTAAACTCACCCGAAAGGGAGAACACCCGAAAGAGCTCAATCTCCGAGAGGGTCGGCTTGAGGAACTGGTTGTAGGTGGCCATCGTCTCGTTGGTGCAGTAGTAGTGCGAGGCAATGCGCCCCAGCTCGGTGCTGTGGATGTTCCCCGAGCGGCGGTCAAACTTGATGAGGTTGCACTTGTCCAGGACAGAGGCCGCCGTGTAGATGAGGTTCGTCCGGTGCTGCTCTAGCTTCTCGTCCTCCTTCTTCTGGTCATGTGAGATGCCGTACAGCGTCGGGTTGCGCATCATGCGCACGTAGAGGTAGGTGTAGCCGAGCCAGCGGACGGCGTCCTTCACGTTCTGGATATTTCCCAAGACGATCTCCGCGTTGAGCAGGTCGGGCAGCTTGGAGATCAGTTGCGACTCGACGGGCAGCTGCTGGTTCAGTAGGGAGAGGTAGTACTGCAGCTCAGAGTGCTGCGTCAGGAGGATGCCCTCGCCCTTGGTGTCGTACTGCGGGCGGCCGGCACGACCGAGCATCTGCAGCACGTCCAGCGCGCCTAGCTCCACCCAGCGGCCCTTCTCCGGGTTGTACACCTGCGTGCCCTTGATGATGACGGTGTGGGCGGGCAGGTTGACGCCCCAGGCGAGCGTCGCCGTCGACACCAGCACCTGCACGTGCCGGTCGGCAAAGAGGTCCTCCACCAGGGTGCGGTCCACCCGGGTCATGCCGGCGTGGTGGATGGCGAAGCCGTACGAGAGCAGGTCCTTCAGCTCGAGGTTCTTGCAGAGCTCCGCTTCGGAGCGCAGCACCTCCGTCGAGGCGGAGCTCTCTTTGAGAAAGCGGCCCAGCGAGTCGCGCTCCAGGCAGAGGTCGCGCACGGCCCGCGCCGTCTTGCCCGTCTCCTTCCGAGAGTGCACAAAGATGAGAATCTGATTGAGGCCGGCGTGCTCCATCACCTTCTCGTAGAGAATCTCGTTCATCAGCTGAAAGCGCTTGACCGCTTTCTTCTCGGTGATGCCAATGTACTGCTGCTCCAGCGGGACCGGTCGGAAGCTGTTGTCAAAGTAGAAGAGGCCCTTCTTGGGGTTGACGCGCAGAAAGAGCGCCACGTCCTCGTAGTTGGGCAGCGTTGCGGAGAGGCCGACCAGGCGAATCTCCTCCTGGGTGGTCTCGCAGCTGCGAATCATGCGCGCCACCAGGCACTCCAAAATGGGCCCTCGCTCGTCGTGGAGGAGGTGAATTTCGTCAAAGATGATCAGCTTGACGATTTTGGTGTAGCTTCGCTCGCCCCCTTTTCGCGTGATCACGTCCCACTTTTCCGGCGTGCAGACGATGATCTGCGTCTGGACAATCTGCTCGGTGCTCAGCTGGTGGTCACCGGTGCACTCGGCGACTTTGATCTTGTACGACTCGAGGCGCTTGCTGAAGTTGGCCACCATCTCCTGGACGAGCGACTTCATCGGCGCAATGTACACAATTTTGAACTCATCCGTGTTGATGATGCCGCTGACGGGGTCGATGTGCTTGCCAATTTCGCGCATCATCGTCAGCAGGGCGACGTTGGTCTTACCGGCGCCAGTCGGAGCACAGACGAGCAGGTTTTCATCTGTCTCCAGGAGGGTGGGAGCAAGTCGAGACTGAATGCGGTTCAGCGACTTGAAACCCTCGAATGCGGGCTGCACATATCGCGGCAGCTTGTCAATCGGTACCAGCGTCTCATCCGGGTCAAAGGGCTTCGGCTTCAGTGCGGGAACGTGAATAATTTCCGCCCCCTTTCGCTGCTTTCGAAATGAGCCCTCTGGAAGGGAGCACTTTTTGTTAGACATAAAGTGGGATCCCTGCTGAAAGCTCAGGTCTTCCAGATCGAGCAGTTTAGCTTTGTTTGAGAAGAGCTCCTCCATCTCCTCGTCGGGTAAAACTTGGCGAGCAGTCTCCTTGGCGGCGAGTGCATCATCAGGTCTCTCCTTCGATTGGCTAGTTTCGAGCTTTCGCAAAATCTCCGACAGCTTAGGATCACTCTTCATTTTATCGAGAATCTTCGCCCGGTCTGATTGGCGCTGAGCTTGCGCCAGTAAGGTGCAGTACAGAATCATCTGACGATCACGCCGCAGAACTTTGATGAACTCAAACATTTCAAAACCAAGCAGGATGATCAGCTGAGTTTCTACTTCATTATCGTCCAACTTTAATATTTTCAAAACTTCCGCCGCTTTGGACTGTGCAACGACGGGATCATCAAAGTACTTGCTCAGGTTTCGCTGTAGCCAGAAAGCATCAATTTCTCGAGGATGAATTTTCGCCTCTTTTCCTTTACGGCGAGTGGTGTTTTCGGTACTTTCCGCCAGTGAAGCTTTAATGGCAGAATCCTGAACCGCCTCTTCGCCCTCTTCATTCTCCTCGTCATCCTCGTCGCGAATTTCGTTGGTCATATCATCAAATTCCTCTTCGTCTTCAGACTCGAATTGAACATTGACACCATAAGCCTCGTCGAGGTTGTCGTCGCCGTGAGCCTGGCCATTAGCGCCGTCGTCAAAGCTGAAATCGGTGATTTTGCGACACAATCCGGATAAAGTATGGAACTTTTCCTTATTCAGCGGTCCGATCAGCGCCTCCACTACTGACTTTTTCTCCAATTCTTTAGCTTTGTCAGATTTCATGGTCTCCAGAATTTCATCTGCAGCGCCACAAATCACATCTCGAGGCTGGTCACCAAGACTGTCAGCGATGAAGGAGAGAATCAGGTCGTAGGTTTCTTTGGTCTCCTGAGTTCGAGGGTGATACCGAATGCCCATCGACTCATTAATATCCTGAGACAGTAGAGATTTTCCTTTCATCTTTGCTAGATCGTAGCCGTTGTCAGTGTCGACTTTTGAAGCTTTCTTCTTCTTTGGCTTTGCTTCATTGCTGGGCTTAGTCCGCTGGTATCGGTCTCCCATTTTGACGGTTCCTAGCTTGCCAACGAGTGAAACAACCTCGCCCGTGGCTTCATCTCGAGGACGTCGTTCAATCAGTCGAGTGTCGGCGTGCAGTACAAGATTGGAATTCTGAAACCAAATGAAACATTAGCTTCTTAAATAGGAAAACAACACTCCAATCTCAAGTGACACTTACCGCCTTGTACTCGTACTGCTGCGAACGAGCCGCAGCATCGGCCATGTTGATACTTTTGTTGTAAAAATTAACTTTTTCACTTTAGTTTGATGTTCAGAGTCAATCAAGCAAACAAAAACAAATCTGATGAAATCAAGTGATTGTTTCCTTTTTTCAAACAGACACAAAGGCTGCAGGCCGGCTCTCTCCAACGCGTGCCATACCGTTCATAGAGGACGTACTATTTTGAAACACTTGTGCGCCATGTTGGCCTGCGCCGCCAAAGTCGCAAACCAGCACCGGTTGGTAAACTTGAAAATCCGCATGATCGCATTATACTTTCACTTTTAATTTAAACAAACGTACAAACAATTTTTTGTTTAAATGAACCAAAAGCTAGCCAAGGCAATGAAGCAAAGAAAAGTTTGGCATCATGGCGAGTGCACGCAGAGAGATTTACAGGCATACGTGGCCTTGAAGGAAAAGGTTTCAAACTTTTCGTAACAAAGCTACGTCACCAGCCAATGGCAGGCCGCCACGTCAGCCTTGAGGCCGCAACTTACATTGTTAAAACTTGTCTCATCTTTTCGAACATTTAGGTTCTCTATAAAAACGGCCATCCCATCTAGTCTTTTGCTCACAATTCACCCCTCTCCCTAGTGAGCACTTCGACCCCCTCCCTCTCTCCCCTCAGCCCTCAGCAACCCAGCCGGGTTAACGTGGTCAGCCTTAGGCCACGTCATCGTACCATAAGGCTGATTCACCTTAGCAAGTTGATGGCACAGCCTGTCTGCTGGCCTCTACGATCCACTCTCAACTTTCTCCATCCTCCTGTCCCCCGGTTAGGGGTAGGAACAAGAGCCGTCCACCCTCACAAGCTGATTGACTATATGGCTAACTTTATGCGTGTGTACTACGATCTCAAAGCGGACGGAAATGACTTTAGTGAGCAACGCCAAGCCCAAGACGACCTTCTCTGAGACAACTTAGCGTTCATCATTCCGCTGCTTTGTCAACTGATTATTCCCATTTATACTGAAGAAGTAAGTGTGTCTTGTGTGGTTAACCTTAACTCAAACTTTTAGTTTTGTATTTTTTTCTAGCCAATGATTGTGACTGGCATTGAGCCGGACGTCATCATTTTTGGTGACATTCACGGCAACTTCAATGACATTCATTTCATTTACGACAAATTCATTTTAAACTCCAAGTACGCTACTACCAAATTCATTTTCCTCGGCGATTACGTCGATAGAAACCCTAAACCTGTCGAAGTGGTGTGCTTTCTTTTTGCACTTAAACTCTCTGACCCAAAACGATTTTATCTACTCAGAGGCAACCACGGTGAGTACAGTTAAAAAATCTCTTTGATTAAATTTAATTGACCTAATTTACATACAGAGGTGTTTAAAATAAATCGAAAATATGGTTTCCAACACATGTGCCTTTACCTTTTTGGTGATACGTACATCAAGCATCAAATACTCGCCGTCCTAAACTACAAGTTGTTTAACAAAGCGTTTTGCTTTATGCCTGTTGGGACTGTCATCCAAGGAACGGGTAAATGCAACGAAAAGCAGAAGATTTTCTGCTGTCATGGTGGCGTGCCTTCGTACTACAAAACCGACACGCTTCAAAGACAGATTGACATTTTGTCAAAACCTGAAAACCTGCACAACTACGATGGCATCATAAGTGTAGAAGAAATGCCAGTCGGTTGGTCGATTGACGACTTGAACAATGGTTTGAAAAAACCAATTTCTTTGTATGGAAACCCGAAATGTTTTCCATTAGAACGAGTCTTCACCGAAATCCTATGGAACGACCCGGCTCCCGCTGTGTTGAGGCGTCGCACACGACCCCCATACGGAAATCGCAAGTTTTATGTGAACAAAGGGCGTGGTGGACACTGTTCGTATTTCACTGAAGCCGGTCTAAAGGCCTTCCTTGAGCGCAATGGGCTAAAAATGGTGATCAGAGGTCATCAATTTGATGTCACCGAGCGCAATGGAACACATTTTGCCTTTGGTAATTTACTTCTCACTGTTTTCAGTAGTAGCAACTACTGCGGTGACAAGAAAAACACCACTGGCTACGTGCAAGTACAAGGTCCGGCGTGTCAAGTCTCAACGGGAGTGCTGAGGACGGCGCAAGAAGCCGAGAAGTTCAGAGGATTCAATAGTTTTTCAGATTAATGACAATTACGGCCAAGCTGATGAAACATTTCTTTAGTTTCAAAACAAATCAAACTTTTGATTTTTATTTTAGATTTTCAATAAAAAATCACACTTCAGTCTAATCACATTGATTTTAGGTTGTACAGTAAAATTTTTTGCTTTTTATTTCTTTGACGTTTTCCTTTTTGCCATTATTTTATTTTTCCATTTTCTGAATATTGGATTATGAGGGTTTTGCTTTTTAACACATAATTTTTATTGCAGGCATTCATTTACATATTTCATATGCGCCAGTGTTTAATTTGTGTAAAAAAGATGTTTACAAAACTTGTGAAAATGTCAATATACAAAATAAGAAGAACGTTGTCGATGTTTTTTGTAGCATCCAAACCAAAGAATGTAAAAAATACAGGGAAAAAAGTAGAGTGGTCATCGTTTAGCATTGACATTGAAAGTGTAGTCACAGCAAAAGAGACATTGCCGGCAATGAGCTCTCGATCGATCTTTTTGTTTTGCCGTATCTTTCTCTGCTGTGAATCTGTCTCTGCAAAAAGATGCCTCTGCGCTGAAGTAACAACTGAAGTAGCTCAGTAACGCGAGTGCGGTGGACTGGGGTTGAGATTCTTGATGTTCTCGTTGATTACGATGCGAGCTGAACGAGTTTGAAAGAAAAGAAATGAAGAAAATATTGAAAAAACAAAATTAGCACTTGGCAAGCATTTGGACAAGGGTGGTGAAGCAGAAGTGGAAAGTAAAGCAGATTCGGCGAGCAATTTTAGTTACTGTATGTACGATAAACTGTAGAAAACTCATTAAAAATATGAACACTTTTAAGATCAAAAACGGTTTTTGAAAACATGCAATTAACACACTGAAAAAGTTTGTTTCAAAAACAGCAAAAAACGTCATCAACATCAACAAACATCGATTTAAAGGTTTTTTGCTTTTCTTTAATCTGCCATAACAATTTTGCTGCAGAAAAATATCTTTAATTTTCACTTAACATTTCCTTGCCCTGACCTGCAGGTGTAAGTGCCCAAGAGGAAAGTGAGCGATCTAAGCATTATCACCACTTTCAGAGCCGCTTGGCATCAGCATTAGCAGAAGTGAGCTGTTTTTTGTCGTCATCATTCCATGGGACACAAACAGGCCATTCGATTAGAGCACGCGGCAATTACTAGACTACACATCGACCTAACCGAGGTGATAAGCGAGCAATCAGTGTAGAGTGTGGAAGCTAGAAAACGTCACTGTACTAATTGAATGCTCCACTTTAGCTTCACAGGTCTCAATCAAGTGATTTTCAGAGAAGTAATATGTGCTTAGAAGAAATGAAAAGTACTGTGTGCGCGCAAAATTTGATTCACTTTTTACCGATCTAATGTCTGTCGCCGTCAGCTACCAAAGGAGAAGAGTAAATTAAAGTTTATTAAGTGGGATTAAAACGAGAGATAGTGAGAGATGGAGAATAGCTTACATGCAGAAAAATTAAGGATGAGTGGTGGAAAGAGAGAGGGGATTAGTTTCTAATCATTAGCAGTTTAAAAGAGNTTATTAAGTGGGATTAAAACGAGAGATAGCGAGAGATGGAGAAGGGCTTACATGCAGGAAAATTAAGGATGAGTGGTGGAAAGAGAGAGGGGATTAGTTGCTAATCATTAGCAGTTTAAAAGAAGAAAATGTAAATGTAAAAATGAAAAGAAAAAAATGTGAGTTTGGGAAGAAAAAGTGAGAGAGAGACTAGCGGGGACTAGTGAATGAGAAAGAGAGAGGGACTAGTTGGGCGAAACCCGCTGAGAGGACGCCCCATTTCGCTTGCTGGCGGTCGTCTTTTCCGTACCTTTCTGGTAGATGAGGTCGCGCTCCGGGTTCATCGGCGGAAGGACGGTGTCCAGGCGGTGGCTGCTGTCCACATAGGACATGCGCATCTTCGACATCAACAGGTAGAGGAGGGCGCCCAGAATGGCGCCCACGTGCGGGGCGATGATGCCCACAGCCCACCAGAAGTGGCCGTCCAGGGCACTGTAATGTAGCAAAAAAGGTTAAAGAAGGTACTGGAAGAACATGGTGTCCACTAGACTTACCTCCAGACGNCGCCCACGTGCGGGGCGATGATGCCCACAGCCCACCAGAAGTGGCCGTCCAAGGCGCTGCCACGAGTCAAAGGTAAAAATGTCACCGGTTATGAATGTAAAAAACATGTCCAGCAGACTTACCTCCAGACANCAGAATGGCGCCCACGTGCGGGGCGATGATGCCCACAGCCCACCAGAAGTGGCCGTCCAGGGCACTGTAATGTAGCAAAAAAGGTTAAAGAAGGTACTGGAAGAACATGGTGTCCACTAGACTTACCTCCAGACGATGCCACTGTATCCGGTCATGGAGAGGAAGACGCGAGGAGCAAGGTCACGAGCTGTTGTTGTTGACAATGAAGGGGAGACAAAGGAAAGTGTGAGATTGTGCTTGTGTGCATTAGCAGTGCTGATGATCCTAGTGCTCTACTTTGACACTGTTGCTCTTTTGTGTTTTTCTGTAACACAATAAACACTCGGCAGTCATCATCAAAAGAGCTATTTACATCGACTGCCAGCCATTCCCACCGGCGGTCACTCTCACGCTTTCCTGGCTTCAAAGTATTCTCGCTTTGCCTGAAATCGATTGCTTTTTCTGTTGCGATCCTCTTCGTTAGCCTTTCTTTTGACCGCCATTGCTAGTGGTTCAAAACGACTCGTTTTATAGCCCTATTTTCTTTTCTTTTCTCTTTCTGTGACCGGTGAACTGTGTCAATGAGAATTTAATGACACCTCTCCTAAACTGGCCAACACAACTGGGCAACACGAGGGATGATCTTCACCATCGTTTGAAGCGCGACAGTGTTTGACGACCAAT